GTCTTTCGCTACTCAGGTTAAACATATACAAGTCACTTAGATAACTTAAAAATGTTATGGTTTGGCTTTTTTTAGTATTTTATTGATCGAGAATATACTCCGGTGTCCTGTTATATTTTAGATAGCAAGGAGTTTATTAAACTTCACCGAAACAATCTGAAAATTTCATTAAAATTTAATGAACTATCCTCTTGTCTTTATTTTTAGTTAGCACATACCTTAAAGACTTAAAGCTGTAAGCTAATGATAGTTATATAAGAGCAGATGCATGCTGGTGCAATAAGCTGTACGCTGTACATCCAATGGATGCATGATCTGATTAGTCGACTAATCGCAAAAATAATCGGTGACTAGTCGACTATCAAAATAATCGTTTGTGGCAGTCCTAGTCAGTAACTGCGTTTGTAACACGTGACGATATGTGGACTAGTAACACACTGAAATCACTGTCAGCTGAGGTGAATAGTTTTGATTATTGTCAACTCCAAAATCCAAATTCAATCAACATCTGTTCAGGATCTTCCAGAACAACCCCAAACCAATCAGGGTTAACTGCAACCCACAGCACTCAAAATGATCCACTGCCAAATTTCTAATAGTACCTACTCAGCCCAACCTGGTTTCAGTTGTTTCCTAATACAATTGTGCATGGGGTCATTACAGCAATGTGGCTGAAAGATTTGCGACGTCATTTGGATAAAAAAAACAAAATAAAACAAAAAACCACACAATCAATATGGTGGATGTCGAGGTTATAGTATACCTGCTCCTCAGTTTATGGCTTTTTCTCAGACTCCGGGACATTTCTCATATACTCGGGTTTGAAAAACTGAAGTTTTGATTTTCATGAAGCAGCCGCTCTCATGACTCATTGAGTGACGCCACTAACTAGCCAATTGGTAGTGTGCAGTCTGTTAACGTCACAGAACCCCAGCTGAGTAGGTACTAAACAAGCACCTGGTACCAAGTACTCCAACCTAATGTAAAAACCCTAAAAACCAAAAGGTCTTGTCATTTAGCTTCAGCTGACTAAATATCATAAGATTATAATAGAATAAATCTAAAGTTCATTTACTTGACTTAAGTGTAAAAGTTTGTGTTTTTATAGGTAAGAGTTACTCGCCACGTTTACAGATTGTTTTATTTCTCTTGATATCAAACGCAATATGTGTCCATATGTCCACTTTTCTCTTCTTTCTTGCAGTTTTATGAGAAAGAGAGCATGGGAGCTGGCTGCCACCCTGTTTATTGGGATAGATCAAATTTCCCTTCTAACCTTACTGCACAAAAAGATTGAAAGTGATCCAATCAGAAGCAAACTCATCCCGCCTTTCTAAACAATTTAATTTGTTAATTTGTAACTCTGATTTGATCTAGTCTCTTGTTTATATTCATCACTGTTTTTGTACTCGTGCATTCGTTTTTATTTAGTCATTGTCTTGCTTCTATTAGGGGAAAAAAAAAGGCTGACAAAAACTATCACACAAAAATTATTGGTCAATGAAATTACCACCAAAATAACACTTGTTTTGGTGGTAAACATGAGGCAGGTGCTTGTGAGTGACTCGTCCACAATCCCCAGACGTAAGACTGTGGGTTTATTTCACATTCCACTTTTAAGCAGCATATTTCTTTAAGTGTGCAAAGATGTGTGCATACGTTTTTCAGTCGTCTTTAGTTTTTTTTCTGGAAACTATTAGGGAGACATTGTGGGTTTAGCATGTTGGTGCTCTTAAGTTGAGCCTGCCGCTCTTTAGTCTACACACTCTACAAGACCAACAGATTCTAACACAAATAATGTGTTCGCACTACATCGAAACAAAAATCTCAAAACCTCGGGTTGTACCCTGCACTTTCAGTTTACGGTCTTGAGGATTTAAATGTCGACAACTCAAGCTGAAAACCATCTGACAATGGCCTATTGTTTCACACTAGTTCGGTGGCCTTTTCAAAGCATGAGTGAAACAGGATGGAAATGTGCACTCATTTCATTTCAACCTTCCTGATTCCTTAGGTCCCCAGCAACACACTCGGCAAGTGTCAAGATCATCAGATAAACGGCTGGTATGAAAAAGCAAAGATGACACTGACACACAGACATACACACAGAGATTCCTTCATTTCTTATGAGCTACAAAAGCATCCAGCATCTATATCCAGCCTACACTAAGAAATGAATAAATAAATTACAGCTAGAAACAGTGTTTTAAAAAAAGGACATAGTAAAAATAGCCTGGGAAAAAAATCATATATACATTTGAAAGTCAAGTTGCTTGAACCACAAATGTGAAACTGCACATAAAACCTTCAGCTTTTTTTCCCCCTGCCAAGCCTAAGCTGCTGCAGGCGACAGCGATATGAGCCACTGCCTGGCAACAAGCTCTCCCGGAGGCCCGAGGTGAGCAGTCAGGTGGAGATAGAATGCGCCCTGAAGTGCTGACAGTGCTGACATTAGTCTGGTTGTAGAAGTTCAACAATAGGACTTCAAAAAAAAAAAAAATGAAAAGAAAAGAGAAAAAAAAAAAAAAGAAGAAGAAGAAAGATGAGCTTGGGCAAGTAACACATAAGTTTCCAATTAAGCAGCTAAGTGAGGATTTTAAAGCATGTCTTTAAACCATGGGTTCAACAGTACTTCGTAACTATATAAATGACTTGCTTATTGCCTTTACTGAATGTTTTTTTTCCTTAACCTCTATGTCACAAAAAAGTACCAAAACATAGAAAAACAACAACCACAGTGCCGGAGATTATACCTAGGTATGTAATTGTGAAACACAGGTTTTCTGAGCTCTCTTTCAAATATTGTTTGACAACAAAACTTTCTTCCCTTTCATAACAGAGAGAAGAGAACTGCTGTCTCATCTCACTTCAGAGATCTGCATTATTTTTTTTAAACCACAGCAGCCACAAGTGAAATAGAAGGAGCTGCTGTGAACATTTTTATATTTAAAGAGAGAAAAAAAGGCAGTACATTTGTCTTGTCAACAGCAGCCTTCAAAAACATCCTGCGATTAGGTAACGACACACACTTTAATGAGCTAAACCCCAATATCATGCAATTTTTATAAACTCAATTGCCAACAACTTCAATAATATCGCTTAATCAGTTCAACACATGCCCTTAGCTGACTCTGAGGCAGACAGGCTGTGTCCAAAGAGCAGCAACAAGAAGGCCCCGTATTATAAACTGTAGCTCAGATTGTGAGCCCGACCAAACCATGCAAACACAGAGCTCCCATAAACTTGGCTACTAATTCATAACTGTAATCACGTAATTTTTTTCTCTAACAGGCTGATACGGAACCTGCTGAGTGCAGCTGCCGAGCTAAATTTAGCAGGTGCTGCTTGTTTCAAAGGCATCAGTGGGACTTGTGTCACGTAGGATCATGGGAGAAGGGAGATGCTCCAGTTAATGTGAGCTGGTGTCAACCACCGACCCACATGAGGAGCAGAGCGAAGCGTCGAAATAAAGTAAGTAAGAAACATTTGGTCCCTAAGCAGGATGAAGGGAGTCCCCCTCAATGAGAGCTGTCGCTTAGCATCTTGGGCTATGTCCACACTAATCATTTTCTCTCCGTTTTGGCAACCCGTCCACACTGAGACGGTGTTTTCCCCGAAGGAAAATGCAGCGTTTTCGAGTTATGCGTCGCAGTGTGGACAGCGAAAACTGAGACTTTCTAAAACGATGACACGTGTTAATCATATGATGCAGTCATGTGACCAATTAAACTAAGATAGCGGAGGGCATTATACAGCAGTTGTTTTGTTTGCTCTCAATTTTGACAGCCCTATTAAAGATGAATATCAGTTTGTACGTGCTTCAGATAGCTATGATGCAAAATTCAGAGTCGATTCTCACTATAGGTGTGAATGTGAACATGAGTGGTTGTCTCTGGGTGTCAGCTCTGTGACAGACCTGTAACTGGTCTAGGGTGACCTGCGACTTTAATGTGGGCTAAATAATATTTGTATTTGATTCACTGCTGAATTTGTAAGTTTGCTCACTTACAAAGATATGAATGGTCTGTAATTTTGAAAACATATCCTCCAAGTAGGGGTGGGCGATATACGATAGAAACTATATAAATTTGGCCAACGATAGAGATTTTGACTATACCGCTCTATCACGATAGCGCATGTTGATGATGTCATCAAGCTGCGCCTGTTTTGGTCGAAAGCATTGCAGCGGCTACAACCATTATCATCTGCAAATTATGCCAGGCTACAGTCATAGCAAAGAGATGAAGCACTTTTGAAATATGGGGAAAGCCAAAAACTGTGCTTCCTCCACTTCCGTAACATTGATTCATTAATGTTGAATTCTCTCGCAGCTGTTCTATTCC